TCTCTAGGGTCTCCTAGTGCCTTCTGAGAGCACATCTCTGCAAAGGCCAGGTAAGCAGGGGGTAAGCTCTCTTCTACCGGGCACCCCCAGTGATAGATGCTCCCCTATGACCACTGTGCTGAGTAACCTCTGCCTCGCCAGGACTTAGGTAATTCCAAATATGAGAATTAGCAGTACTGCCCCAAATTGGACATAACTGGCTACCCAGCACCCTCAGAGTGGGGGCTGACTCTCCAGCTACCCCCACCCAGTCAATCTCTTCCTCCAGGGACCTCTGGAACTACTCATCAGGAACCCGTACACCCTCCCTGCCCACCCTGGCTGCTGCTCTGGCCTTGAGCCAGTCTGTTAATGCGGCTCCTTTAGTTTGTAGCTGAGATCTTCAGCACCGCTCTCCCAGGAGCCGTGGAGGAAAGCTGGCCAAATGCAGGGGAAGCTGATGGGGAGAAAATGGCCATGCCCATCTCCATGCCAGGGAAAGGTTCTATTCAGTGGGCAAACAGATGTTCTATGGAGCTGCCCCTGAGCTTAGGAAAACATGGTTTGGGTAGGGGCAGGGCTTGTTCTGGGTCAAGTGTGGAGTCCTGCTTCTTGATATTCAGCCCCATGACTAAGCCCCCTCTAGAAAGAGGGAAACGAATTTGATCTGCCGCCTCTCTCTGGTGCTATTTTCCTAAACCCCTGCAGGCAGCTCCTCAGCCCTACCATATTCCCTCCCATTAAAGCAGACTCTCAGAAGAGCTGGGGACTTCACCTCACTGGGGTAAGTGGTTAACAGCTCCTGCATCATCCTCCCCTGGGGATGGTCACTGGCAGTATCCAGGATTTAACTGTAAACAGAAAAGCAATAATGAGGGGATTTCAGACACTGGCCAGAAGGTGAGGATGCACAAAGGCCCTGGTACCTTCACAGCATCTTTACTACCGTCCTGACATCATTCATAGAAGAGATGCTGGCTTGTGTTGGCAGATCAGAAAGAAGACAGTGGCACCAGAAGCAAGCCTGGGCTGTAAACCCTAAAGGCCTAATGGCCTACGTCTGCCAGCTAAGCTCCATGTCTCAAGTGCTCCACAGTGTCCCAAAGCAGTGCCACCAACTACAGACTAAGGGTACAAACCATGAACCTGTGAGGAACACTTCACATTCAAGCCACGACATTCTGCTCCTGGTCCCCATCGGCTCATGGCTATTTAATAATAAAAAAATACATCTGGTCCAAATTGGAGAGTCCCCATAGTCTCGATAGTCCCAACACTTTTCAAAAGTCCGAAGTCTCTATAAAACTCAAAACTAGGTTATAGACTTCTGGTATACGGTAGCACAATGTATAAATTCACATAATCATAATAAATCAGATGCAAGACCAAATCCCAGCAGGGCAAACATTAAACCCTGCAGGTCCATGTCCGGCATTTGGAGCACCTGATAACATCATCAGATCTCCCACAGCCTTGGGTAGCTTCACCCCTCTCTCTTTGCTGCCTGCAGCACACATGATCTCTCCCCTGCTCTGGCTCCACTCGGCACCTACCCCTTCCTCAGTAGACTCCCAGCATCATCCTAGGGTGTTTCCTGCGCTTTAGGCTTCGTGCACACCATCCTCGGGAGCTCCCCACAGGAACTCGACCATGGTACCCACCCCTTGACCTCATTTGCTTTCCTCTGAAATCTCTTTGCAAACCTCAGTGACCCCTTAACTCTTGCATCCCCTACTTACAAAACCAGCTCCATGTGGAAAGCACCAGGTTCTGTTGGCAGTCTGAGGGGAAGCCTGGCCCTTTGGATCCTGTTTGAAGCAGCTTCCATGTGGCCGTGCAGCCGAAGCATGGGAAGCGATTCCCTGAGTACCTGTTCTTCAGTGTGGTACCCTTCTAGCTTTTTCTTTTCAGGCACTCCTTTTTAACAAATGGGTTTTCAGTCTTCCTGCCTTGGAACTGTTGGTGGGTGGGGTCTCACTCTCAAGCCCTCAGTCTCGTTGTGCCCACGAAAATGCACAGTTTTCTCTTAAGGGCATGGCAGTCCTTTAAAAGAAATGAACAATTACAGCAAGTTTGTCCCTGCCCACCCCTAGCATGTACAACTTTAAATGTGTTCATGCTGCCCTTGAGGGACTATGTTGATGGTAGAAGTACTGGAAGGAGAGAAAAGAACCCCAGGTGGAAGCAAATGGGGACATGGGGCCGGCCATTTGAACGACTGTTAGATGGAAAGAAGAGAAGGGTAAGTATGAGATAAACTGTCAAGAGATGTGGTTAAGAGGAGAATGTATGCTGGGCAGTGATAGCACACGCCTTTAATCCCAGCACTCGGGAGGCAGAGGCAGGTGGATCTCTGTGAGTTCGAGGCCAGCCTGGTCTACAGAGTGAGATCCAGGAAAGGCGCAAAGCTACACAGAGAAACCCTGTCTCAAAAAAAACAAACAAAAAAAAAACAAAAAAAAAAAGAGGAGAATGTAGGACTCACAGGCCATGGCGTCTGGAGAAGCTAAGACTTTAAGCCCAGAGGAATCTTCGAATAGCTGTACCATGATCACACCTACTTTCTAGAAAGATCACCTGAATGGATTTTGGAGCTGGGCTTAGAACAGAGCAGCTCAGATCATGTTTAGTCCTGTTACCGGCTCATTGACTTCCAGGCTCTGATTCCAGCTCTTGGTACCCAGCAACCTATTTACGGCTGCGGTGCACTAGTGAGGGACTGTTGTTCTCCATGTTACAGATAAGAAGAACACTGGGGCACAGAGAAGATTACTTTCTTACCCACAAGACCAATCAAGGTTGCAGTTGGCAGTACTGACAGCTGAAGCCAGGTGTTCCGGCTCCAGAGTCTGCCTCCTTCCCCACAGCACTTGCCCAGGTGGGAAGTGCATACAGTAGGGTCCACTGGGAAACTGGGAAAGTTTATGAGTGTTTCTTCTTCCCTCCCTGTACACGAAGCCCCTGGTAGGGAAGGGACACATGTAAACACATGACCAGCTCCACATCCCTGCAACCGTTAACCTGACCCTAAAACAACATGGCCTCTGTGAGCTCACAGCTCGTCTTCAAAGCCACAACTACCACCAGCTCAACCCATCTGGTGCCGGGGACACTGACTGAGAAATAAGGTGCAGGGCTGATCTGCCAATTGACAAGTGAGCCTCCGCAGAGGCCAGTGCAGGCAGGTGTAGGCATGTTTTTCCGTGTCTGTGCCAGTGTGGGGACCCCAAACCAGGACTGTGGCTCAACCACACCCTACCTCAGGTCCCTGCTGAGAGTGCTAAGGGGAACACCTGCAGGAAGTGAAGCTGCCTTAACATTCAGAACAAGGTGCCCTGCTGGAAAGATGCCGGCAGCTGAGCAGTGATGGAATTTCTCTGGCACACACACAGGGTCTGCTGGGAATTTCCTGAGGGGCTGACTCTGAAAGAAAGCAAAAGCAGATGCTGGCTAGGGACAAGTTGCACATCACAGGCAGTTAGCACAGTCACATCTCGGGCATACAGGGAAGCAATTGTTGGCATCAGGAACTGGAAAAGCCCGACTTGTCATCTCACTAAATCTTCAGTCACTGTCCCGCCTGTCACACGGCTCTCTGGCTCCCTGCTCTCCTGCATTCTTTTTTGCAAGAAGCATCAATATACAGCCCAGTGTACCAGAGACTGGTGTGGTCTGTTCTGTGCAGAAACATCAATATACAGCTCGGTGTACCAGAGACTGGCGTGGTCTGTTCTGTGCAGAAGCATTAATATACAGCACAGTGTACCAGAGACTGGCGTGGTCTGTTCTGTGCCCAGAGCTTTTGTACAGCACCTGGACCTCCTGCCCTGGCATTGAGCCCTCCCAGTAAATAAGGATATGAGAGGAGAGGTTTGCAGGAGCTCCCCTTTTCAACGTTTTGCTTTCCAGAGTTTCAGTCAACTATGACCTTGAAAATTATTAAAGAACAAGTTCCAGAAATCAACAACTCATGGGTTTTAAACTGTGCAACTGTGTGAGTAATCCTACGAGATCTCCTACTGCTCTCCATTCTTCCCTGGATATCTGTTGCCTCTTCCAGTGTGTCCGTGGCATACGCTGTCTATCCATGACTAATTCCTGGTTATCATGTCAAAATGCCATGGTGTTTGTATGTAAGGAACCCTTCCTTTACTACTTAACAGGAGTCCCAAACACAATGGTAGTGATGCTAGCAATTTAAATGTGCCAAAGAAAAGCCATAGAATGCTGCATGCCACCAACTAATAGTAAAATGAAAACATGGATGCTAAGGTTACTAAGGTCTATGGTGGGTAGAATGAACAGGAGGTCCACAGTGAATAACAGAGAGGCTTTGGTACTATCTACAGTTTGGGCATCCACTAGAGGCTAGGGCCCTCTTGGATACAGGGGTCTGCTGTAGCCAAGCCCAATAAAACAGCAAAGACCTGCTTGAGTCAGGATGCCAACCCCAGATCTTGTGTCTCCAAGCCCAGTGTTTGAGGCTTCCATCTGGGACCTTCACACTGACCACATTTTACTACTGTATAAGTGATAAAATTCCTGACAAAAGCAACGTAAGGAAGAAAGGATTCATTCCAGCTCACAGTTTGAGGGTGCAGTTCATCATAGCAAGGAAATGACAGCAGCTGGAGCTGGAGGCAGCTGGTCATATTGCGTCCATAGTCAAGAAGCAGAGAGAAATGACTGCTTGTGCGTAGCTTTCTCTTTCTTATGCAGCCCAGGACCCATGCCTAGGGAATGGTACCGCACATAGTGGGCATGCCTTCCCACTTTAACCCGATCAAGGTAATTCTTGGGGAAAGAGAAATGGCAGGTTGATTAAAAGCACTTGCTGCTCTTCAGAGGATCAAGTTCAGTTCACAGAACACACTTAGGGTGGCTCACAACCGCCTGTGATTCCAGCTCCAGGAATTCCTACAGTCTTCTGGCCTCCATGAGCACCGGCCCATGTATGGCATACATTCACACAGACACATATACATAAATGAAAATAAATATTAAAAAAATAGTTCACCTACCAGTATGTTCTGAGGCCCGACTCCCAGATAATTCTCCATCTCAAGTTGGTCATTGAAATCAGCCATCATAGTTATCACTCATTCTATAAGGACTGGCTCTAGGCAGGTAAATACGGAGGTCATGTTACAGGAAAGAGCCCTGTGGGGGAGACACAGAGGTGGACTTGTTGTCAGTGAACCAGGCACGACTTTGGGAGTAGGACATAGCTTCCCGTCTGGTCACAAGACAGAGGCACGACACAGGAAGGCAGGTGTGACATTCTCATCCCCAGCCCTCCTCCTAAAACACTGACTTCACTGTGACAAAACATAGGCCCAGCACACAGTAGCTATCCTGCCAAGTGTCTTGTTCTGTGGTCTGTTGTGTGACTTTTCCTGGGGAGAGGTGATCAGCCCTGGAGAGAACACCAACAACAGACAGAATGGAAGATTCCACTCACATCTAGCTTGGTGAACGTATACATTTACTGGGGTCACATACTGGAAGATAGGTGACTCGAAAGCAGCTGTATCACCCCAAAGGCCCTCCCATGCACCCCTAGAGCTCCCTGACCAATCTGCAGGCAGCTTCCCATCACTGCCTGCAGTTGTGTACTGTGTGCATAACCTTGGGGAGGTGCCCTGTGAATGTTGTGGGTTTCCTGAGCTTCCTGCGTCTTACAAGCCTCTATCCTCCCTCTTGGAACTGCTACTCAGGGGAAACAGCTCCACATGTTCCCACCTCCGTTCTCCATCTCAGAGTCTCTGCCCGGCCCTGGCATTCAGGGATTTTATCCCACGGAACCCTGACCTGCAGGAAGATGACTTAGACCATGTCCACTCTCTAGCCCAGAGGTTTGGGCAGACTGGTGCAGAGTCCAGCTTCCTGGAAGTCGGTCTCATCCGTCTGGCTCTGTGAACTTAGACACTTGTTCCCTAACCCCAAGTCTGAAGGAACCAAATGAAGTGACCTTGGTTTCCTGATCTGCTAAGTAGATGTTTATTTCTTCATTTTATCATGAAATAGTGTTACCACATGGAATAAACGAGTGTCCTAACAGTTCTGTGTGTCTCAAAGGTCTAGAAGTCTTGCCCTGGCTGGCTCTGGACCAGGAGTAGGTAACTGGATTCCCACAGCCCATGAAAAGGCCAAGTAGGCATCACTAGCCCACAGGAACTTCCTCAAAAGGAGCAGGGCTCAGGGATCAGGGATCAGGAACAATGGGATTCAGGCACCTGAATGCCCCAGGGTGTGCTATTCTGTTGACTTCAGTCTTCCAGTTTTAGGTTCTCAAGAGTACGAAATGCCATCTGCAGTCATCTCTGCACACACACACACACACACACACACACACACACACACACACACACCCCACAGAGATCTTCTAGATCAGCTCACGTGGCAAAAGAGGGGCTCTGTAAGCCTGGCTTAGAGCACATGGTACCAATAATGGTCACTGGGAGGTGACCAGGTTGAGGACAGGGAAAATACAGCAGCCAGCACATACCAGTTAATGAAGGAGGCCAGCTGCACCCTAAAGAGTTAAGCGAGAGTGGGTGTTACTCAGGTAACACTTGGGCCAGCCGAGTGTGTCAGCCAGTGATATTTGGCCTGAAGGGACTTACTCGGTCTTGAGTGCCAGGCAATCTACAGGAAACACACTCTAACTGTTCTCCTTTCCTTGGGGCCACTGGGTTCCAACCCACCAATAGGATGCTGGGGAAGGACTACGGATCTAGACACTGTGAGTTTGGTTTCTATTCTGCCTCCAGTTTTCCTGCGTTACCTAGGAGGTAGTAGCTTCTCTGGGCCCTATCCATTTTCTGTACAAAGCAGTGAAGGCAGAGTGGTTAGGTCTGAGTCCCTGAGCCCCTTCTGGAAGGACACAGTGTAGCTGACCCCTCCTAGCACTGCCACATTGAGCGTCTCTCTATCTGGATTTATCCTTCAGACAACTTAGCCACACTCCCCAGCCACCTGTTGCTACAAGCTGAACCACCTAGCCGTCAGCCACAGGCAGTGATATTAGCTTGGCAATAATGAAAAGGAGAACGACATCAGGGCAGCACTCTGCCCTGTACTGTATGTAGGAAGCATCTGAGGTCAGATCAGCTACGGACTAAGTGAGTTAAGAGCAAAGGATGCTTGCATCCATGGGTCATGTAGAAGATGAATGTTGAGCCAAACCTCTATCCCAGGATTTACAAGCAGGATCCTCATTGTGGGTTGAAACCGAGGCTGCCTGTGGATAAACAGACCATGAGGTACCATGGGCAGACTACGCCTCTTTGGGATTCAGTACCCTCTCTGTTGCTAGTTTTGGGTTTGTTTATTTGTTTGTTTGTTTGTTTGTTGTTTCTTTGTTTTGTTGAGACAGATTCTCACTATGTATCTCTGGCTGTCCTGGAACCCGCTCTGTAGACCAGGCTCTCCTCAAACTCACAGAGATCACTTGTCTGCCTTCCAAATGCTGGGATCAAAGGCATGCGCCACCGCACCCAGCTTTCTGCTCCTGTATTGATCTGCCAAATAAGTGGCTCTGACCCCTTGGGGACCTTGTCTATCTCCTCAACTTCCTTCCCTCACTGAGGTTCCCAGCTTCTGGTTCAGCCAGGTCAGCTCCTGCAGTGTGCTCCCTTCTGGGGCTGGCACATGTTGACCTCCTCCTGTGGCCCTCCACTCGGCTCCCCCAATACTTGGTTTTGTCCTCAAATTATATCCAAAAAGAATCCTTCTCTACCCTCCCATTAAATCTGACTTTGTGCCCCTGAACAGTCTACCTTAAAATGAATTTATTTTCCCCCACAGCACTTGCGATTCTGGCAGATTTAGTGAACTGCTCAGTCTATTGCCCACCTTGTCCACCAGAATGCAAGTTCCATATGGACAACTGTGCACCTGCTCTCCTGGCCCCTCACTCCTAAAGCTGTGTGGTCCAGATGGGGCCCTCTACAGATCAGTCAACAAATGAACAGTTGCAATAACAAGGCCTCCCAATTAGATGGAGTTATGATGCCCTTAGCACGGGTGAGGTGGAGAGTATCTGTGAAGTCTTTGTCTATGGAAACAAACCAGGAGCTTCACACCCAGGAAGTCCGCATGATCGTGTATGTGCCACAGGAGAAATGCCTTCAAGTGAATAATAGGATAGTGAAAGCAGATATATTAATTACCCTTCTCATTACTGGGACAAAACACCTCACAGGGGCCACTTAATGGAGGGAGGATTAATTCTGGCTCATGGTTCCAGGCCATCTTGGCAGATGAAGCCATGAAGTGGCTGTTCTGAGGACACTGCCCAGGTATAACCCCCAGGCCTGTACTTAGTGCTACTTCTTCCAGCTAAGCCTACCTTCCCAGAGATCCACAACCTTCCAAGACAGCACCATTAGCTGGGAGCCAGGCGTCCAAACATGTGCACCTGCCATGGACATTTTACTAGGTCAACACAGGACATAACACTAGGTAAGAAGTTCTGTTTGCAATGGTGTCAAAACACCATTCTCAGAAATTCAGGGTGAGTGAGATGGCTGAGAGGATAAAGGTGCTTGCCACACTAGCCTGAGGACCTGAGTTCAATCCCTGGAGCCTACCCAATGGTAGAAAGAGAATTGACTCCATAAAGTTGACCTCTAAAGTCCACATGTGCACTCTGGCACACACACACACACACACACACACACACTTATAACAGACACACACATACAATCATAATTTTTAAAATATATTCAGGAACTCATCTCATAAGAGAAGCACAAAGTCTGCATTCAGAAAATTACCAAGCTGTTGAAGGAAACGGAAGCTCCAAATGAACAGGAAGACATCGTATGTTCATGGATTGGGCAACATAATGCTGGTATGGTGGAAACACTCGCACATCCATCCATAGATGCAACACAGTTCCCAGCAAAATCTCAGCTGGCTTCTTTGCAGGGCTGGACAAGCCGATCCTAAAGCTCACTTGGAAATTCAGGGAGGCTTAGAATAGCTGAAGTTGGAGGACTCACACTTCCTGATTTCAAAGCTTACTTCCAAGTTACAGTAATCAAGACAGAGTGGGATTGGCATAAGAACAAACATGGAGATTAATTGAGTCAAATTGAGAATCCAGAAAGACGTCTTCCCACTGACAGTCAATTCATCTTTGGAAAGGGTGCCAAAATATAATTCATGGGGAAGTAATAGTCTTTTCCACGAAGCAGTGCTGGGACAACACACAGAAGGACCAAATTGGATCCCTACATCACTCCATATGTAAAGATACCCAAAACTGAATCAAAATTCCAAATTTAAAAGCTAAAACTAGACACCTCTTAGAAGAAAACATGGGGGTAAATGTTTGTGATCTCAGATTGGACCATAGTTTCTTAGATGTGACCCCCAAACATAGAAACAAGAAAATTAAAAAAAAATAGACAAATTGGACTTCACTAAAAAGTAAAACTTTGTGCTTCAAAGAATATCATCAAAAAAGTGAGGGGGAAAAAAGAGACCCAGTAAATGGGGAGAGATAAATGCAAATCAGACATCTACTAAGGGATATATATGCAGTATAGAGAGAGAACTCAGACAATCCAATAATAAAAATGACAATCCCACTAAAAAGGAATAGATGTTTCTCCAAGAAAAGATCTAGGAATGGTCAACAAGAACCTAGAAAGGTGTTTAATATTGTGTACCTTCAGGAAAATACAAACTAGAACTGGTTTCTTACCCCTTAATACCGAGTGGGAGAACTGGAGGGACAAGACAAATAGCAAAACTGGTAAAGATCTAGAAACAAAGAAGCACAAAGATTCTTACCATACCCCTAGTCCAAGTGGAAAATCCCACTTCAGAAGGAGTACGACAGTTCCTCGTGCCATGAAACAGAGTTTCCATGTGACATGGCAACCCTACTGCTAGGCATCTACTCACAAGAAATGAGTCACAAGTCCACACAAGAAGCCTGTACACAACTGCTCATAGCAACATGATTCCAAACAGTAGGAAGAGACAAAATGCCCATCAGTGGATGAGTAGATAGACATATGACATATCCTGCCATGGAATATTACTCAGCCATAACAAGAAATGGAGCACCAACTCAAATTACCATATGGATGAACCATGGAAACATTATGCTAAGTGGGAGATGCCAGTTACAAAGGCACATACAA